GGGGGTTGCCCTTCTCCATGTTGATCTCGGGAACGCGCGGGGCGGGGCCGGGCGGGGCCGCGGGGTCAAGGGTCAGCACCTCCCTAGTTGCCGTGGCGACCGGGGGCGCGCGACGCGAGCTCCCAGCCCTGGTGGGTTTGCGCTGGCGGCTCGGGCCTGGCCGAGCGCTGGGCTCTGGGGACGTGGGGGTCTACACCCGCCGAGGTTGCCCTTCTCCATGTTGATCTCGGGAACGCGCGGGGCGGGGCCGGGCGGGGCCGCGGGGTCAAGGGTCAGCACCTCCCTAGTTGCCGTGGCGACCGGGGGCGCGCGACGCGAGCTCCCAGCCCTGGTGGGTTTGCGCTGGCGGCTCGGGCCTGGCCGAGCGCTGGGCTCTGGGGACGTGGGGGTCTACACCCGCCGACAGGGGCGGGGAGTCTGAGGGAGAGCGGGGAACCCCTCGTGAGAGGTGGCACTCAAGGCCCGGGCCTGCCGGGTCTACGGAGAAACCCGATTTCAGTCTTTGAAAGCTGTCTTTGATGTACCCTGGATGTCTAGTGCCTGGCACAGAGCAGGCTTCCGATAAATAGTGATGGGGTGAATCAGCCCCCTTCACTGACCGAAAACACAGTTGTCCTCACCTCTTCTCCTTTTGAAAAAAGAGAAGGCTGTTAATTGATTGGAATGCTCCCAACGTCCCCAAGACAAAGGAAGAGAAGGAAGCAGATAAAAGACCCCAAAACTTAACACAGGGATTAATAAAGATAGCAGGGGGCACTGGGCTAGAGTCATAAGACCGATTTCTGACCCCATGTCTGCCACCAGTTTGTGTGACTTTGGTAAAGTCATTTCCCCTCCCTGAGCCTCAATTTCTTCATGGGTAAGAAAACTGGTCTGTGACTCCATGGTGATTCTATAGACTCAAGGTCAGAAGGATCCTTTGGGGCACTGAGGTCTGGTAGACTATCCAACTTTGGGTTTGTCGTAAAGCATCAACTAAGAAAAACAAAAGGCCTTCTTCACCAATGGCACCCACAATTGCCTTATCTACACCTAAGGGCAAGGCCGGGGGGGTCACAGGTGCTGTTGGAATGAAAAGGGCTTTGTTAAGAGAGAAAATGGGGACATGTTAATATCATGCTTTTTCCATACTAGCCTGATCTTAGTGGTAAAAATACGGGTGACGGCTGATGAGTCAGGAGTCTTGCTTGATGTCCTGGCTCTGTACTCAGAAATTTAGCTCTGATGGGCACTTAGCCTCCTGCTGCAAGGAATTAAGATTCTGGAAGCCTCCATTCCCTTGTCCATAAATTAGATACTGTAGATAAAATAGCTATTATATAGTTGGGGAGTATTATGAGAATGTACATTTCCTAGCATAGTATGGCACATAAGTCTCCCTTTGCCCCTCTGTTTCTCAATTATGAGAGACTTTTATATATTACCTTTATTGTTTTTGTTTCTGTTCATGTCTTATTCAAATAAATTCTAAGTTCTTTGGACTGCCTTGTGTATCATGGATGATCACAATGCCTAGCATGCAGTAGGCACACAATTTACTGAATGACTTAATGCCTGTTTTCTTTTTATAGGACTAATTTTGAGAGTAACAATTTTATAGATGTGCATACACTTTTCCAACTTAAAATGGCCATAAAAGTGTAAGGAATTATGTTTATTATTTTCAGGCAAGGTTTAAACGTTTCCATTTGAGGAAGACATTATGCTCTCAATGTCTTTTTAATGTCCCCACATTTACACGATACTAGCTGCAGCACTTTAAAAACCAAGAGTCTTTTTATTAAATATTTTTTAAATGGAAGTATGTGAAGACCCAGTATATTTGTGTCAGAAAAGCAACCATGAGTTGAAAAACCTTCGGGGTGGTAGATAACATTACACATTATTTAAATTTTGTGGAAAGAAGATACTTCCTTGACTCTAAAGGACACCACCACAAACCTCAAAGACTACCCAGGTTCCAGCACATTCTTTAGGGACCCACTGACACTTGCTAGTGTGTATAGATTTCCTTTCACTTATTGGAAGCTCCAATTCTTAGTGCTGCTTACACACAGTGGCTGTTGTAAGTTCTGCATGAAGTAGGCACTCCAAAAAGAGACAATGAATTAATTTACCACCAAGATCTTCCATGAACCAAACTACAGATGAATCTTGAATAGTCCTGAGCTAGACACCACCTAGAATGAAAAGACCTGGGTTTAGGTCACTCTAATAAAAGTTTACCATAAAATGTTTAAAAAAGAGGCAGAAATTTTCATCTCCGAGAGACAATATATGAAAAGGCCATGTGTAGAAAACAACAAAATCATCATACTGTGAATACAGCATCTGGATCCCAGAGTGGGCGCTTGTCACCTTTAAAAAATATTCTTTAGGAATATTTAAAGAGTGCATTGGAGTAGTCAATGGTAGAATTTCAATCAGGATCTCCAGGGAGAAATCATCTGATACTTGAAACAAAAACAAAATAAACATCATGAAAAACAATTCAGTTGAGAATTTTTATAAATTGCAGTTTTTAAAAGTCTTTATGTCTCTATTAAAGGTTGTGTATAAATAAACAATAGGTAATTAATTATGATAGTGAATATGTGTTTCTAAAGAGCTCAAATTGTTTGGTAAGCTTTATTAATGATTATAAACTTGTTTACAAGTATCGTTTCACTCATCTCTGAAATATAGCCATCTCTAGGGTGGAAGTTGGCAGAGGTAGTTCACAGCAACGCAAAAACATACGCTAACACAATTCAGGAAATACTCTAAAGCAAGGGCTGAGCAACTGGAATTACTAACATCTTTTCCTGTAGTACCTAAATTTCTTTTGAGTTTTCCCAAAACTTGGCTAGAGCCAAAATGGTTTAGTTTTACTATCTGGCAAGATCAGGAGTTATGAGTTAATGTTCGTAAGCCAGAATAAGAAAATAGCATGTTTATGCCCTGGGGAAGCAAATAAAGAAACAAACAAAAAAAATATGAGCTAAATAGAATTCAGGATTTTATTATAAAAGTGAAGTGATTCCATATAAAGAAAGTATTTTCTTCTTTTTTGATTATCCATATTAAGAGAGTGAAAACATGTCAATTGGGTCAAATACATGGTTGGCTCATAGTGAAAAATAATGGCAATTACATAAGATCTGGGATCAAAGTGGTTCTACAGAAATGTTTATTGTCATACGGTTTTAAAAATTCTTACTAATTTTAAGATGTACTTGGACAGCAATTTATAAATAGAAGAAGGCATTCAGAAGGATGACATACCAGAATCGAAGACAGTCGCTTTTTAAAAGTTCTAAGACTAATGATATATCCAGAAATGTTTGGTATAATTCTAAATTCAAGAGCTTGAAAGAAATAATACATCTTAAGGAGAAAATGCTGAAATTTCTATTTTTAAACTGTTACAATGCCTGATGCAATGAATAAGAGTGATTTGACCAGAAGGTTAAAATAGTCAATATTTATTCTCCAGTAGCGAAGAATTTCACCGATGAAAATATTTACTAAGTGCTGCACCTTTCAGTAAAGCCCCATAAGGAGACTTACTCCTAGTATCGTGAAAGAATTTTTCCTTTTTTTGGGCATCAGCATCTCTAAAATCGCCACTTGCAAATCTATTGTAGGACAATTATAAAGCTCTTATAGTGTTTAAATAACTCTAGGTCAAGAGTATTAATGCTCCCAAATACAATATGTAACAAATATTATTTTCCGGTTGGAGGTTCCAAAGTACCATTACAATCTTCATACTTCAGATACACACACACGCTTTATTATAGTACAACTCAAATATATATAAAATTTATATACATATACATATGGCAAAACTTCAGAGTTATGTTGGAGACACGTACATAGATAATCTCCACATAACCAGGTAAAAAGTAAAAATCTGTTTGCAAATGAATTTGAAATTATAATTGCAAAAATAGTATTTGGGGGTTTTTGGTGATTGTTTTGTTTTCATCACTGGACTGATCAGTTTGTCTCTGGGACTGGGCAGTGTGTGGACACAGCTTGTAATGCATGTGCAGTGTGGTACATAGTGCTATAAAGAGCTTCAGCTGGCAGCCTGGGACTTAATCCCAAGTCTGCCTATTACTAGCTACACATCTTTAGGAAAGTAATTTTCCTTCTTTGGACCTCTGTTTCTTCATCTGTATAATAAGAGTCTATCATAGGAACCACGAAAGCATTCTCTAACATTTAATAATTCTAAGGAGTATATCCACAACACAAAGAAGCAAAATTGCATTTTAATTACCTAATTGAATTTGGTCAGTATATTAAAGCAGATTCTTTTTTTTATGTAACTTATTAATGAAGTCCCCTCTAATTCAGGAGAAAAAAATCCTCAAGACGTCCTGAGAGCTCTTTTTCCCAAATGAAAATGATCATCACAGAAAGGAAGTAAATATATCTTTTATTAATGGACCCTTTTATTAATAGGAAATTGACACTAATAGCTCAAGATTAGGAAGAAATTACAAATAAGTGCAAGTGATTTTGAAAAACCTTAAACTTTTCACTTGTAGTAATAAACATAACTTCTATTCGTGTTATCTGTAGATTTTTCAGTCTATGAAGCTGAGTTCAAGAGGGTAAGAATTTATGGAGCAGAAGTACATTTTGCACATAATACGTTTTGGGTGAATGTCTTTTAATTCTTTCTCCTAATGAAATCAATGCATGTTGCTATATAGAACGTGAATTGATTCACTTTAACTGTTATATAGTATTGAGTCAGATAAATAAGCCCCATTTGATCTTTACTGCTTCCAAAGGATGTTTAAGTTGTTTCCAGTTGTTCACTATAATAAGCAGTTCTTC